TTGTTTACATATTGATCTGCAGGGAAAATTATTCGAATGAATGCATGAATATTGAATATGAATTGTCAAAATGTAAACGTATACTTTAATAAATAAACTGTAACAGTTCTTATAATCAATAATGAATGTTTCTACATAATTTCAATAATATAGGACACAGAAAGCAGCCAAAGCAAAGCATAAACAAACGCTAAGTAAATGAGAGTCATTTCCTTAAAACAGTCTCCTGAAACCACCGCAACACCGTGTGCAATTGGCAGCTGCAGTGGGCACATATTATCTACATACGTATTATCTTATAAATAGAACAAGACTTACAAATAATTATTCTAAAGAATTAAAAAGTTGTGGCGACTATATGAAGAAGAATTTACCTCGGATTGATCTTTTGTTAAGAGAAGAACGAGAACCCAGAATTTCCCCAGATGAGGTGAAACTCTTCCCTCCTAAGGTCTGGAGGGACCCGGAAGTGACAAACTTGTGAGGTACGGGAGATCTAGCTGAAGAGGTAGTGTGACACATGTCTACAGACACTATGGAGATGTTGGAGTCAACCCTACTCAACTGAGTGTTAGATTTTGAGGCTTCATGGAAGTTCTCGGTAGGTTGTTCTTCCGTGTGAGCTGTTGGTTTAGTTTTGGCAAAATCTGAGTGATCATGCGAGAAATAACCTTCTTCCCCAGACTTCATTCTACTTCTCGGGTACCCAAAATTGTCCACTGATAAATGTCCAACCATCAAGTTTTCTTGATAAACTTCTTCCGGTTTGAGGGTTTCAGTGGAGGAAGCGGAAGAACGGTCAGTGGAGGAGGCACAAAAGCGATCAGTGGAGGAGGTGGAAGAGCGGCCAGTGCTGTAAGATAATTTACTAGGTTCACTTTTAGCATCTTTCTTGTTTTTAATGTCCAATGGGAACAAGTTTACTGGTGCTGAATAGTTTTCCATTGTGTTGGAAGCGTACGAAACCACTGCTACTGAAACAAGTTCAGTTTCAAACGTGCCGAATGAATCGATAAAATAGGGAACTTTAATTTAGCTTCTTTAAACTTTTTCTCGAAAATGCGATCTGTCTTATAATACAAGATTATTGAGCGAAATCACTCGTCAAGATTTTATAAATCTGCGTCATGTAGAAATGAAATTTGTTTTTCGAGAATGCGCTGAAGTTTTGTCTTATCATCTATCGAGGTGCATTTATGAGAAAACCAATACAAAATAAGCATCCTCATTCCTCAATTAATGAACTCGAAACAAATTATAATCACTCACCAACGGTCTCTTGCTGAAAATTCAAAGGCATGCACTGGTTCATCTCATATTGATGCTGCATCGCCACCCCACCATTTAGTGACGGGGTGAAATCAGCTTGAACAGGTGTCTTCAGACGGGATCTCTTGGAAAGAGAGGTACATCTTGTTAGAGAGGTAAACGAGTTAGTTTCTGAGTAATCGTAGAAAGGAGAGGTAGCACCACTGCGCTGTATCTGCTCGTTGATAGACGGAAGCGGGCTCGGAGATCCTTGCCGGGAAAAGTCCTTGCGGTATATTGGACTCACTGCTCTGTTGTTGAGGGAGACTATATCACAGGAGTGATATTCCAGTGGAACTGTTAAACTATGTCCTGGTGTTATGTTTGATATTGGTACTATATCACAAGCAGGATACTGACCCACGTCCTGCTCTGTTGTTGAAAATATGCGGTTGATGGCTGGTAGGGGGCTTATCAGCGACCTTCGGTCTCGCAGCCATGTGGGACTTTCAAACTCTTCAGATCTGTGTTCCACCGAGGAACTGGGGAGAAGAGGAAGCTGAGGGACTGACACAATATCTGGTGTGTTCTGTAGGATCATGCACAGCTCACAGAGCAGATCCTCTGACTCAGGACACGGAGTGTGGTTGCTGCAGAACCTACACAGTAGCTGGACTGGGGAACTGTTCAATATAAGTGGTTTAAATACGGGGGCCTGGCTGGTAGGTATTGGGGGATTTATATCGCTGGGTTCTATTGTAGACACCGGCTGATTCACTACCAACGGTAATTGATTTTCAGTCACTGATTGATTAAAAATAAGTGGCTGACTTGCAATCTCTTGCTGATTCGAGATCAGCGGGTGACTAGGAACCGCCTGTAGCTCTGTTAGCGTCGACTGACTTGCAGTCACTGAGTAACTTGAAGCTGCTGACTGATTTATAACCATTGGTTCACTAGTAACCACTGAATGATTCGTAATCACTGGCAGATTAAAAGTCATTGGCTGGTTTTCAGCCACTGAATAACTTCTAGGCACTGGTTGATCAACAACTATTGGCTGACTTGTAGCCAGTAGCTGATAAGCAACGACGCTTCCGAGAACTGGCTGATTTGAAATCACTGGTCGATTTTCAACCACCGAATGACTATTTGGTCTACTCAATGGTATGTCGATATTACTTTCTACGTGTATATTCTCTCTTGAAGGATCAGTCTGAGACAATGTTACCATTTCACCGCTTTCATTGTTCTTTAGAGTTGAAAACGAAGTTGTATTTTCGGAATTACCACATACATAAGCGGTAGAGGACACAGAGGTACTCAACATCTCGTTGCAATCTGGGCATTTCTCACAACTACTTTCTACAACCCTGTACTGCGAAGAAAGACAATTAGTAGAATCTTCATTTTTTGTGCTGATGTCGTCTTGACGCCGTGCGGTTTCGTTCACTCTAATATTTGTTGCTTTAGCTTGATACTCTTGGTGGTCCACCACTGGATGAGTTACATATTTCCCCAATGGTCGATGATAATTAGCATGACGAAGACAAGTGCAAGAATGCAGAGGGGTGAATTGTACAGGCTGCATGAAAGACACAGCAGGACCAATAGGAACTGGTAAGTTCGATGTTGCAACACCAGATTCATGGCATTTGCAGAAACTAACATCTTGATCGCTTTGAGCACTTATTTTGCAGTCCTTGCAAATTGTTGTGTCATTATTTAAGATGGCTGTTTCGATCAAAGAGCTGGTATTAGATTCTGTGTATGGAACGTTTGAGCAGCAAAGGCCTAGACCTTTCATTTTCTTTTCTTTTACCATTTGGTGATTGGAGACAACAGTCTTATCAATTTGGGATGCAGGAAGAGGAAGTGAACAGTCGCAACACGAGTTGTTAAATCCTGATCTATTGGGTCCTGACCCATTACATTTACAGAAACTAGCAGCGCTTGAGTGGAGATGGTTACCCAAATAATTGTTCCTGGGGACCAAAGTCACATCATGGTCTGACAGTTCCGACACCGATGTAAGACTACTGTCACTGTCATAACTTGATGCAGCAGGTCTTTTATTGTTGCCGAAACAATTATCAGCTCTATTTGGCTTGGAATGCCGCCCCTTTCTTGGTAAAAGCCCCAGTTTAGAGTCCGACCCACTTGAAGACTCATTGATTACTCTTGGTTTTTTAATACTTTTTCTTATCTGCATATTATCCCGACCTTTGAATCTGCCAGATGGAGTTCCACCAGATTTTCGTCTTACTCTCGTAATAGGCTTTCTTTTTACTGTTATCTTAGGCCGACGTTTCTTCGGCCAACATCCAGGGCCGACCCTTGAAACAGATTCTGTTAAATCTGATGAAAAGTCAGGAGATCCAGCATGTCTCTCGGCTGATTCTCCAACCCGGCTGCCACTGATAAGATCACCACTTCCATACAAAACACTTGATCTTCTTTGTGGTTGAGCACAGACATCACAGGGTAGGATGGAGGTCTCTGTGCAGGAACACAAGCTGTGATCGGCTTTAGAAAAATAGCTGGGGTCAACTTTGTGTCCACATTCACATACGGACACGTCAGCTATATTGGGAGTAGGAGAAGGGCAGCCACAGTAGTTACGGTGTCCCTGGTGGTGGTTAACCTCAGATCGGTCTATAGGACAACCACACTGACACACACTTACAACACCTTCAGAGTCCTCACAATTATCTCCACCTAATGTCTTCATGCGTGTCTCAGCGACCGTTACTGGTTGTGAACACTTACACAATGGCTGGATCTCTCCGTTTGGGATCAGGTAAGTAAAGTTTTGATGTTTACCTCTGTGGACCACAGCTCTGTAGTTCCTTTCTGAGGGCTCAACATGGGAGTGTGGATATTCATCTGGAGACAGAATCCTTTTCTTTGAACTCTTTATTTTGTGTGAGTCTTTATCATTTTTAAACAGAACGGCTAATCGTTTCACAAAGGACTTTTTCCGTTTAACTGATTTGTTTTTTAGTAGTTTTGCATTTGCTGGCAGTGCCTGTTGGGTTTCTGATTCCGATGTAAAACTCTCGTAAGCAATTGTTGTTTGCTTTTTACGAGCTTTCTTCTTTTTCCTGTAGTAGCTATGTAGTTCCTGAAATAACATTGAATACTTTCTCTGTTGCAAATGATTTAAATATGTTAAGAGTTAAATCATGCATACAAAAACATTATTTATTATTATGATTGTACACGATCGTCTTCAGTTTATAAAGAAATTTGCTGAAATTTGCACTAATAAATCAAACTGATTCTGATTAAAAGCTACGAACCGATTCTGATAAGGACAAAGATTGTGCGGTTTTTTCGCGATACCCTTTACCCATCCAGAATTGTTAACGTCCCAGCGTTGTATAATACATGTCTACATAATATAACAAAGAGATAATAAGGTTTACTTTTCTGCAAATTAATTATTAAAAATAAATGCTAAATTTCAAATAAAAATTCAATATTATCTGGTTAAGCAACAATTCAGAATCATTGGATGTAATTAACAAATTAATTCCAAGAGATGATTTCACACAACCAAGTAACTTTAACAGTAGTTTGCCGAGCTGACAATCTCTCTGATAAACAAATGCTGTCTGTCTTTGCTGGAGACTTTTGTGTATTAATGCTTTTCAAACAAAGTAACAACGAATTATTCATGTAGTGCATCCTGGGTTTGGACAGGATATGCTCGTTTACAATATTTCCATCACGTTATATTACATAATTCTCAATAAATGTAATAGATTTGTAGTGTTGTATTTAGTTTAAAATGTATGATTTCTTACTTTCATACTATCATTAACCAAAGAAACAGAATTACGAAATTCTCTGAATGAGAAATTATCATTCTCAATTTACTGTTTTACGTTCATCATTCCTTGGTCTTTTTATTTAAGAAAATATTGTCCAGTATAAATTTCTGCGGTAAGGGATTTACCGTTGCAATATGTTCGTGTTATGATAAGGAGTTCAAAAGGCAATTGAATATTTCTCATAAACATAAAGCAAAGGAATGTTAATAAAACTTTAAATTATATACTGTTTAGTACTAATCCAAAAATAAATTTCATGTTGCATAACATTTAAAAGTCCATTGAGCATAGCGAATTGAGATTACACGCTCTTGAAGAATTAGCGAGTAGGTATTGTGGAAAGAATCTATGCTTACCCAAGACTTGGCTAGCTAGACCTATTGATCTGATTTAAGAGCCACAAGCCACCACCATTTGCTAACCTGAAAACAGTGCAAGGACAGTTTGTGGTTTGGTCCGATCACAATTCACTATTTGTGATAGAATTACATTCAATCTCACAAGAAATACCGCAAGAATTACCACAAGAATTACCACACTTGTATAAACACATGCTCGCTGTCTGGACCGCTAACAAGGTTCACTTTAAATCACTTTAAACTTTGATTGGAAGCAGTTAGAGTTAAAGTGCGAGCTTCATCCATAACGTACTCCACACAGCGTGCATCATCATCTTTTTAACCGACCACATATATCTGGACCGTGCTTGAAGAAATAAAACTAGCAAGCAATCTCAGTCTGTTTTAAATCTGCACGTGCAGTTCTGTCCACTCTCGTTATCTTTCCGATAACACGTGAAGAAGGTGGACCAATCACAGTCCTCCAATTGGCACTGGACTCGTGGCTGGAATTGTTCTTAAATTGAACCAGTACACTTCCCCTAAAATCTGCCGATAACGCTCAACACTGATCCTCATTGTTAGTTATCATGACCTAGTTTTATTGAGTGCTTTGTGATTGTGTCGTATATTGATCAGTATGGATAATTTGGATCTGCATGATGCGAGGTTTGAAAGGAAGTTTGTTGTGTATGATGAGGCGGGTGCTATCTTCAAATCTAGTAAAAAGTGCTTGAAGTACTCGCTTCCCGATCTTTCCTGCTTGCAGATGAGGCTATCAGCTGACAGAAAAGGTTTGATAGACAACATAACAAAGAAAACTAAGATCCTGGTCCGAAACATCCCAAAACCAAAAAGTTTGTTCTCTGTTTCCCAAAATGCCACGAAGCATCAATACGTAAGCAAAATTTTCACGCATTTTCATCAAGATGAAATGATAAAAACCTTTCCTTTGCATTAGCCTTCAAATAACCTTATTCTAGACATAAAGATCGTTTTATAACCGTGATATTTAGGACTTGCCACGTCCGTATTTGATTTTGGTATTTTTAGATAGCATCTGAAAGAACCTACAGCATTTTCATTTTTGTATCAATTTTCAATCCTCAAATGAGGACCAATTAAGCTTAAAAGTAGTTTTGAAATGTAAGCCCCATCACCATTTTTAACTTGAAATATACCTTAGCATTACATTTGATATAAATTATCACATTTAATACAGGTTAACTCTGGGCAAATAATCCCATAAGTCCCCAATTGTGTTAGCCTCAATTTTTCCCAATTTCATCTTCAAAAAAGCAAATAAGAATGTTTTATTTTATACATAAAATAAAGTATATATACTTTATATACTTCTATAAAGCTTATTCTTTACTCTATTCAGTATTGGTTCTCAAAATAACCATAATATTGCACCTAATAGGAGTCGAGCACACTTCAAATACTACTTTCCATCAAAGTTTACCTTCCAAAAAATAAAATAATTCGAATTTTACTTGCACACTATTTTGATGACCAGGGTCTCCACTTAATCAAAAAGAACTGACCGGATCCGGTCCAGGATAATGTCCAGTTAATCAAACCTAGATTAATTTGTTACACAATGCAAATATCCGTAACTTAATTCAACCACCAGATTCGAAGATTAAATTCCGGGAGGAAGACTTCCTAAACCGGAGCAACACATTCGTGAGCACGTCCTGCGAGGTTAAAACCATCAGCCAAATCAACCTCAACAACGAAAACAAACTTTCCACCATCAGTCTCTTCCCATCTGTAGCATCAACGGAAGACTTCAAGAATGACATAAAGAAGACATTAAAGAGGTCTATGAGATCAAAAACACGATCGTTTGGGGCAACATTACCGGCATCAAGATCAATGCCCTCACTCCATTACGGTGAGATGGACAAAATAGTTGAGGAAATGCTGATCGTGGTAAAACCTCCTATGAATATTCATATCTCCAACAAAATGACATGCGAAAAACCTGGATGATTAAAATTATAACTTAAAGTCGATTTTGTTGAAATTCGACGAGGTTAGTTAATGTAGCGGAAATCTTTTCAATAGCTTTTGGAAACGGAAAAATAGTTTTTAACTCACAAAAGAGACGTCGTTTATTGTAATTGTAGTTTGCAGTACTTCGTTTTATAGTAAATTTAAATCTATACACACAAAATATCGATGGTTTTGTATTTTGATAATTGATGAATGGATATTACTATTTAATAACAATTGAATTAATGTGTTTTTCATTATGGATACTCATATCGCTGTGTCTTCTTTCCCATACTTTAAAATTAAACTGTTATATCAGTAAAACAAACTCAAGTCTCAGGAAGGATGTGAGACAACTCAACCGGGGCCCCATACCCCAACATTTCCAAATCTGGTTTTAATTGTATTGATAGATTTGCTAACAACTCCGAATCAAGCAAAGAATACTCCAGTGAAGCTCGTCTCACTGTTGAGCTATTCCGGGAGGGTTTAGGGAAACTGTCTATATACTGAGGGAGGTTAACATGCTGGAAGACATCAAGTGAAGCTGTGTCCAGGTCCTCATACCGACCGATGTAATCATACTCTAGCCACGGGTGGCACAGACCTGCTATGAAGAACTGGGCGTTCCAGTGCTCGTTCAGTTTCTGGCGAGGTTGTGTATATTATGAACTTGTGATTCGGTTCAAGATTTGACGATTGAGTTTTTAATGTATTATACATCTACTTCATAGTTCAAGAAGAATATTTAATATCAATCGTTAAGTTCTGTTTATGATAAAAACCAAATTCCAAATCTAATCAGTTGAAGACTAGTTGAAAATATAGAAATTTGGACATTACAATTATTAATCTCGATAAACTGCAAGTTGTAACTACATGAACTAACCGTGGTTACTGTTTTATTCGGAGCATCTCTCTGATGGTCCAGGATATCACTGACAAACTCCCCGAACCTGACGTCACTGCCGCTATTTATCTCAGCTTGGGAGGCTCCAGGTCGGTGGTTCTTTATCATCCTTTTACCTTCTGACCTAGAGGCAGGGAGTTACTGCTTTGACTTGGCAGGTTTTTACTGTTACAACTTGGCATTTGCGAAACCGTGTTCATGCGTTTATGTTACTGGGCGGCGCTCAGCCTGTCATTCAGCCTGTCACTACGCCGAATCTCTATAATATGTTTATTGTTCATCTATTAGTAAGGGGAAAAGTGGCATTCCGTTGGATTCGAATGTTCACAAGGATTTCTCAACGGAATATGGTAGTTAGGACCCCTAAGAACATAATTAGACTTGTTGCCAATTTTGTATCTCAACGGAAACACCACTTTTACCACTTTTTACCACCTTTGTACCACCTTTCTGGTTTGCCAAATATCTTTAGTTGTGAACATCATAGAAGGCTGCAAATTAACCTAGAATTTTTATCTTATCAAGGAGTAAAACTTTTGTATCCAAAATTTTTACATCGGACAATCAGCTAATTGGATAATTACCAATTAGTTAATCACCAAAAAAAGTGAAAATTTTTTATTGGCTTAAAATGATTTAAATCGTTTGAAACACGGAGAAATGTAGTTTTTAGAAAAACTTCAACAATTTTTCACTTAAAATTTTTTTTCGAGACTTCAAAAAAAAAGTTTGAAAATTTGAAAATATTTTTTTCCGCCAAAAGTGATCGAATTGCATGAAACGTGGATAAAAATGCTTTGCAGAAAAACTTCGAAGATTTTTAGATTGGGGAATACTAAAATCATCAATATTTGAAGTTGGAGTTCAGTAAATCTCGACATATTTTAGTAATTAGGAATAGCTTAGCGGAAAGGGCTGGACCTGAAAAAGGTTAACCACACAATATTAGAGTTTCATAACTAATTACAATACAGCTTTATCAAATTCCACATAAAGAAACAGCACAAAAGGACCATTTAAGATCGAATCGATTTTACCTGCTGTACTATCATTTTATTGATTTCAATGATCAAAACCTCTGTCAATCTTGCCAATCTATACCGGGTATCTGAATGTACCGGACCTCTTATTTACCTCTATAATTAGACCCAGTTGTGCAAGAAATGCGATTTCTCACAGCGGTTTCTTTAAACTGTGCACTTTTTATCACTCTCGCAACTCGCAAGAGGCCTGGTATTATAGGGGGGGGGGGGGGGGGGGGGGGGGGGTATTGTATGCGCATGCCGCTTCGTTTGCTATGCCATATACCTCGAATAACCCCCATATGTCATTGCCAGGGTCGGGATAGAGCTGGAGATAGCATTGAAAAGTTGCTAGAAATAGCTAGATTTAGAGTAAACTGGTGGTAGCTGGGTGGTGCTAGCATGGATGTAGCAGAACGTAGCTACACGGGGTTTCATTGGAGTTGGTTATTTTAATGGCCAAAGAGTGCCGGAACTAAAGTTACTTAAGATTGCAGTTTAGGGGCAGTGTAAACCACGGTGTAGTCAGGGACACAGAGCTACAGTGCAGGAGTACTGCAAAAGAACAGTGCAAGTGATACAGTCTGCAACAGTAAAACTCCGAAGAAGGAGATAAGATTGTGGCTGCAGAGGAGGAGAGTAGCTGGAACCTGATTGTGTTTGTGTTGAAAGAAGAGGAGGAAGAAGAGTTTCCTGCTCTGGTAACTGTATTTTTGGAAGAGGTGGGGTGAGAACTTATTTTCAAGCGACAAGGGTGGGCTGGAAGCAACCAGATACAGCTATCCGACCTATTAAGATCACCGTCCTGAGCTTAACAGCATTTCATCAGAATCTTATGAAAACAGAGAGACTGACCCACCCTTTTTAGATCCAACGAAACCCTTTATATAAATCGACTTTTCTGCATGAATTACTTCATGGTATCTTCTTATCAAGGCTAAAGACCTTGCCGTACCGGATTTATTGATAAAAGTGAGTCTCTTTAGCCCTCTTCTTCTTTAGAGCTTTAGGTTAGTGATCAAACTCTTCGCTACTCGCTCTTCACTGGATCTATCAGGACAGATTCACATCTTTTTAGGTCTCAACCAGCCTTAGTTTTCCTGTTTTCATCATGTAGTACGTTCTGCTACCTCCATTTTAGCACCACCCAGCTTCCATCAGTTCACTCTAAGTCTAGCTTCGTCGGCGTTTTACTGTTGCAGACTGTATCATTTGCACTGTTCTATTGCAGTACTCCTGCACTGTAGCTCTGTGTCCCTGACTACACCGTGGTTTACACTGCCCCTAAACTGCAATCTTAAGTAACTTTAGTTCCGGCACTCTTTGGCCATTAAAATAACCAACTCCAATGAAACCCCGTGTAGCTACGTTCTGCTACATCCATGCTAGCACCACCCAGCTACCACCAGTTTACTCTAAATCTAGCTATTTCTAGCAACTTTTCAATGCTATCTCCAGCTCTATCCCGACCCTGGCAATGACATATGGGGGTTATTCGAGGTATATGGCATAGCAAACGAAGCGGCATGCGCATTCACAATACAAAAAAGCCACAATGGATGATGGAAGGTATATTTACACTCGCTTCCTATACCCCCCCCCCCCCCCTAATCCCTATAATACCAGGCCTCTTGCGAGTTGCGAGAGTGATAAAAAGTGCACAGTTTAAAGAAACCCCTGTGAGAAATCGCATTTCTTGCACAACTGGGTCTAATTATAGAGGTAAATAAGAGGTCCGGTACATTCAGATACCCGGTATAGATTGGCAAGATTGACAGAGGTTTTGTTCATTGAAATCAATAAAATGATAGTACAGCAGGTAAAATCGGTTCGATCTTAAATGGTCCTTTTGTGCTGTTTCTTTATGTGGAATTTGATAAAGCTGTATTGTAATTAGTTACGAAACTCTAATATTGTGTGGTTAACCTTTTTCAGGTCCAGCCCTTTCCGCTAAGCTATTCCTAATTACTAAAATATGTCGAGATTTACTGAACTCCAACTTCAAATATTGATGATTTTAGTATTCCTCAATCTAAAAATCTTCGAAATTTTTCTGCAAGGCATTTTTATCCACGTTTCATGCAATTCGATCACTTTTGGCGGAAAAAAATATTTTCAAATTTTCAAACTTTTTTTTTAAGTCTCGAAAAAAAATTTTAAGTGAACAATTTTTGAAGTTTTTCTAAAAACTACATTTCTCCGTGTTTCAAACGATTTCAATCATTTTGAGCCAATAAAAATTTTCACTTTTTTTGGTGATTAACTAATTGGTAATTATCCAATTAGCTGATTGTCCAATGTAAAAATTTTTTGATACAAAAGTTTTACTCCTTGATAAGATAAACATTCTAGGTTAATTTTCAGCCTTCTACGACGTTCACAACTAAAGATATTTGGCAAACCAGAAAAGTGGTACAAAGGTGGTAAAAAGTGGTAAAAGTGGTGTATCTGTTGAGATACAAAATTGGCAACAAGTCTAATTATGTTCGTAGGGGTCCTAACTACCATATTCCGTTGAGAAATCCTTGTGAACATTCAAATCCAACGGAACCCTTAAATCGACCACTTTTCCCCTTACTATATATCATTATCAGCATAATATAATAGCCTGGGTTCCCAGGTAAGCGTTTATGATATTTTATTAATAGCTCTAAACTTGGCTCCATATTTAATGCTTATAACACTTAAATTAAAACATGCGTCAATATAAAAGTTTTCAAATGATGTCCGGTTAGTAAATAAGTTTTAGTAACCAATTACAGGATTTCTGGCTGTTGAGACTTTTTACCGTACTTACTGTTTACATGACAGTTGGCCCTCCACTCCCTATGCGCGGCGCTCTTTTAGCTACACTTTTACTTACTGTTGAATGTAGCCATACCACCACTTGTCGTATCTAGTAAACCTATCCACGTAGGCGCTAACAAGTCGCGTCCACGGGTTCCTGACAAACGCGAACTTGTAGTATCCGTAATCCTGGAGCACTGACCTCCATTCTGTTCTGGGCAGATCAACCTGTGGATATCACGTGAGATGAGGTCGTAATGTGCGTGATTAAACTCTTGTTTCTTATGTTAGCGAGGATTCACAGCTTCACACGATGCCTGATCAAGAGGGGGAGTTTCGTAATCCTGGGTAATTGATTCAAATATAGTATCTAATTGTTATGGTCATTCACGGGAAGTCAAGTGGTTTCCGGCATTAACCGTTTTAAACGACCATGCAGCTGTGTGCCAAACTTGAAGAGAACCACTGCCTTTTGTTGTCTATGTGCTACAAGCATGTAACCTAATTAGCCCACTTGTTTGTTATAACTGCGACTCTAATTACTGCGAAATTTCTTTTGTTTGCTCTGAATTAGGTCCCTGTTTAGGATCCCAGAGATTTGTGACTGGAGGTTTCAGCAGTTAATGTTATGGTTCCAATGTTTTGTGACGTCACGGTTGATCATGTAAGGGTTATTCATTCTTAGTATGATAGTGATTAGTGATACAGATCTTATTACCCAAAAATTGTAGTATTTTAAGTTTGACTTGAAAGGGATACTGTACCTTTGAGCTTAATCTAAATCCGATTTTCAAACAAACTTATAAACTTATACATTGCAACGAGGCTTCAATAATAAAATGGAGTTGTAACCGAATTTTTTCATTTAAGGCAGCTTATTGAACATAATTAACAAAATATGGTTACAGGATTCTCTTGTAACCATATTATGTTAATTATGTTCAAAAAGCTGCCTAAAATGTTAGAAATAGAACTTTCTACTTAACTAAGTCTTCGTGATGCATTAAATACTGCTCGACGAAAATCACCAGCATCTTGGTCAGAGATAACTTTTATGAAATGAAGAAAATTTTGACATTCTTGCTTCATCTTGATCGCAAAAATAAAAAGATCACTGGCTATAGCTAGGAGTAGACAATATTAAATAACGAATGTTTTCATCTCCTTCAGGAAATCGTAAATTATTTCTTACCAAACGTTTAAAATCGCTCATGACATGAGGGTAGGAAAGTTTCTTCTCGTCGGTGACATTCCTCAAACGCAGAATAAGTCTTTTCCAATTGCTGCACGCCACCTACAAATGTTTCCATATACAAAAAAACTCAAACAACTTTCTATAACGAATCACAATATTATGATATTGTTGGATTCGAAAACTGGAGATGGCCCAACTATATAAATGCTTTTGATGACTCTCATATTGTGTGAAAACAAGAATCATCGTGTATCGTCGTTATATTAGCTCCTCAGTCATGAAGAGATCGTTATTAAGTTTAAATTAATTTAAATTACTACTTCCACACTTGCATTCTACCGTCCTACTGCACTCAGTCCTAGTTAGGTGTCAGCACTACACTACATATACCGGCCTACCATCCCACATCCTCACTTCCACACTTGCATTCTACCGTCCTACTGCACTCAGTCCTAGTTAGGTGTCAGCACTACACTACATATACCGGCCTACCATCCCACATCCTCACTTCCACACTTGCATTCTACCGTCCTACTGCACTCAGTCCTAGTTAGGTGTCAGCACTACACTACATATACCGGCCTACCATCCCACATCCTCACTTCCACACTTGCATTCTACCGTCCTACTGCACTCAGTCCTAGTTAGGTGTCAGCACTACACTACATATACCGGCCTACCATCCCACATCCTCACTTCCACACTTGCATTCTACCGTCCTACTGCACTCAGTCCTAGTTAGGTGTCAGCACTACACTACATATACCGGCCTACCATCCCACACATCCTCGGCTTTGATCAAATAATTTGAGGCACAGTGTATAACACTATAACTATAGTTGGCATTTCTGTTGGACAAAAACGTTTTGGCAATATATTGGCAGTTGGGATAGTGCTAAGCACTCTAAACTATAAAGGTGCATGGGAATGTTGGATTATGGTATGGTTGTCATATTGTTGGTGTGGCGTCCGCAATATTATCAGTCGCCTTTGAAAATCTACTACAGATTTTCTTTCTGTATATCACTATACAGTTCCTCTTTAGAAAAAGTGCATGTGACAAGTAACGAGACAAGGATGCTCTAGGATCAGGAGCGACAAATGATCAATTGTTCTAGACGTGAGGCTTTCTGCAGTAACGGCCCTAGCGAACAGGGGGATGGTTGTTCGCTTGAGTACTATGATGCGGTTATACAAGTCTGGCAAAACAATTTGTGACCTGCCTATTGGCCGGGCGCCGCCGTAGACTCAACACATGGTGTGTGGGGTATTTACCTCGGGCACACACCTTAATCTCTCGACCGGCGGGTCACACCCAAATCTCCTGCTCCAACTCTTTCAAAGGCTGGTACCCTACTACTACGTGGCCAGAAGGAAATTCTTGTAGGAACTCTTAATGTACGAACAATAAGAGAACAATACAAGAGGGATGAGCTGGGTGTATGCATGAGGGATAGTGGCGTACATATTTTGGGCATTCAGGAGCATCGGGTAGTACATAGCACTGAAATCGAGTATCAAGATCTTGGAAGCTCTCACCTCATAACAACTTCGGCATGGAGAACCAGCAATGGGGCGGCTGCTGGTGGGGTTGGTATTGTCTTGGACAAAAAGACAGTATTCAACTCATTGATTAGTGTATACTCACATGACAGGAGGACGATGGTAGCCAACTTTGCAGGGAACCCGGTCACAACTGTTATTGTGACTTATAGCCCGACAGAGGGGGCGACTGTCGACGAAGCAGAAAACTACTACGACAGCCTTGGTGGTGCCATCGACCAGATACCAGCCCACAACTTACTATTCGTTGTAGGAGACCTCAATGCGCATGTCTCATCATCAGGAAACTGGACATCCTTCCACAAGGGTCCAGCAAACCGAAATGGTAGACTGCTAGAGGATATGCTGTTGGAGCGACAGCTAGAAATCACAAACACCAGATTTCAGAAGCGAAGAGGTAAACTCTGGACATATCTCTCAGATATGAGTCAAAGTAAATCTCAAATCGACTTCATCATTTGCCGGAAGAAATGGCGGAACTCCGTCAAGAACTCCGAAGCATATGGTAGTTTCCACAGTATTGGCTCGGATCACAGAGTAGTCGTAGCAAGGGTAAAGCTTAGTCTACGGATAAGCAAGACGGAGAAGAGGGCTCCGGTTCTGGACTGGTCTAAACTTAAAACTGATATCGCTCTACAAGAGAGGTACACAGTGGAAGTTAAAAACCGCTTTTCCATACTTGAAAAGGATGATCAGACGGCAACAGAAAGGTACCAATGCTTTATTGATGCGAATAGGACAACTTCTCGACTTTTACTACCTGAAAAGGAGAAAAAGAAAAGATGTAAAATCTCAGCGACTCCAAGTGTTGAGATTGCCAGGCTGAAGCTGAGGGAATGTAGCATAAAATACCACTCAGATGCTACAGAAGACAACCGAATAGCTGTTCAAGAGGGCAAACAGAAGCTAGGCGATGCTTATCAAGCAGCCAAAGAGCACCTGCTGGAGGGGCAGGTCCGGGAACTGGAGGAAGCAAGTTGGCAGGGCAGACATGCTAAAAGCTGGACCATGATCAACAAGATCACAGGTAAAGCTCCATCATATACTGGCAAAATCAAGGGAAACTCACCAACGGAAAGGGTTCAGAAATGGAAGGACTATTTTGCTACTCTTCTCGGCTCACCACCGACGGTAGAGAACGCGGAAGAGGATATTGATCCAGTCCACCCACCTCTGAATATCGGAACAGAACCGTTTACGTTGGATGAGTACAGGAAAGCAAAGTCCAGCATAAAGGAAGGGAAAGCATGGGGTGACGACAACATAGCCCCAGAAGTCTTAAAACGATGCGACCTTGATCAAATTGTCTTAGACTTCTGTAACAATGCTCTATTGAAAGGTGAGAAACCAGACCAATGGTCAACTGCCAACATCATACCAATTCCAAAGAAGGGCGACCTTAGCGAACCAATGAACTATCGGGGAATAAGCTTGTCATCCCTAGTTGCCAAGTCTCTAAACAAGATGGTTCTAAACCGGTTGAAGCCAGAAATCGAGACAATTCTGCGTAGAAACCAGAATGGATTCAGACCAGGAAGGTCAACAACTCAACAGATATTGGTACTGAGACGTCTTATAGAGGGTGTCAAGAGTCGGAAACTGCCAGCTGTTCTGACATTTATAGACTTTAAGAAGGCTTTCGACAGTGTACATCGTGGGAAAATGCTAAAGATTCTAGAAGCTTACGGCATCCCAGTCAAAATCGTGCAGCTTATACGGCTCATGTACGAGAAGACAATGGCCAAAGTCCTAACTCCAGACGGAGAAACTGAATTGTTCGAGATACTTGCAGGTGTGTTACAGGGTGATACCTTAGCACCTTACCTCTTTGCAATAGTCATCGACTACTGTATGAGGCAAGCCATAGGCGATGATGCGGAGCGACTTGGACTCACCCTCGAACGTAGAAAAAGCAGAAGAGTGGGGCCCAAGATCATCACCGATGTGGACTTTGCAGATGATATAGCACTTATATCTGAGGACATGGACAAGGCTAACGAGTTCCTGCTCAGAGTAGAATCGGCGGCAGCAAGCGTGGGACTACACATAAACGAAGGCAAGACCAAGGTCATGACACTGAATATGGAGGATCGATCTAGCGACCTACAAAGTCGATCCGGGGAAGCCATAGAAAATGTAGATGATTTCATCTACTTAGGCTCCTGGATTGAGAGCACAGATAGGGAGATAAGGGTTAGAAAGGGAAAAGCGTGGGGTGCCCTACATAGACTGAAGGATATCTGGAAATCCAAACTCTCAAAGAGCCTAAAGATTAGATTGTTCATAGCGGCTTGTGAATCAGTACTGCTCTACGGATCAGAAACCTGGACACTGACAAAGGCTCAAGAGAAAAGTTTGGACGGGACATACACAAAGATGTTGCGTATGGTGCTGGGTATCTCATGGAAGGACAAGGTCAGCAATATAACTTTGTATGGTAGCCTCCCAAGGCTGTCAAACAAGTTACGAAGCAGGGGATTAAAAATGGCGGGACACTGCATCCGACATCCTGAGCTACTTGCCAGTGATTTAGTCTTATGGGAACCTACGCACGGTAGAGCACAGCAAGGCCGACCAAGACAAAGCTACTTGTCTATGTTACTGAAGGAAGTTGGGACAAACTCTAAAGAGGAACTGCGAACCCTGATGCGGGACAGGGATATATGGAGGGGGTTTTCTGGCGTAGATCGGACTTAGCTCCGACATAGTAGTAGTACTACAGAAGTAAAGTCGAATCTCGATCTTTGACTATTTAGGTCCATTGTGATCGTGAACATGAATTTAAAGACAGTGATGTTGCTTGGTCATCAATTTGAACAATTATATACTTTTTTTGTGACTACGCGTGACCCTCGCAGTATATGAATATAATCAGTAATATGTTTTATTTTTGACGGATGATACGCGTGGGCTATATTTCTTCGAAATGTTATCTCAGGTACCAACGTAGGGTTAAACGGAGGGTTTCAATTTGCGCTTTATAAAGGACTCTCACGAGAACTAGTTAAGTTATGCATTCAGAGTTCATGACTTCTACTTCATAACTTCAGTACCTCATAAATATTCACAAAGTACGCTAAAAACTACAGTGTAGCTCTTGCTATAATCTCCCGCTGCATGTTCACACAGTAGTTATATCATGACATTATGTTAACGTCATGTAGGTGTATTATAATGACATTGTGTTGTTTTGGTTTTGATATGAAGTCAATTGTTTATGATGTTCAGTGTAAACACTTATGTAAGTCCTGATAACCTGCAGTGTCGTCCACTCTGTATTTTCATGATATTTGCATTTAAGATTGTTTGATAAAGGAATGAGGGGTGTAGCTGTGTTGCAGTAGAAGTGTGAGCTAAATCAGCCGATGGTTTTAATTTGGCTCAGCCATCTGGTAAGATCTTTTAGACGATTTTTAACCGACAAATTTTTCACTCCAATGACCTGAATCCTCGAATTCTGAAGAAATACCGTTGATATGTTAGTGTTTATTATGCAATCTCGCTAACACGAAAACAGTTCGTTCACTAAGTCGTCAGCCTTAAGGTTGGCCCTATTTTATATTACGTATCGCATATTATTGGACGAAAATAAGGCCTAAAATAATGTGCATTCCAATCATCATCTTAATGATTCTGTTTTGCAATTTTGTATCCTGCTTAGCCAGCTATAAGTCAGCCGAAATTTATTCAACCAGGCAAAAATGACCAGCCCGCTCGCTGACGCCTTATAATGCTTATCAGGGATAATAACATTTGACCATGATGTGACATTTGTTCCAAAAAAATTGTCTGTCAGTACATACTCAAGTACTCAGCAGCGTAGTTACATAACAACTCAATTTTAAAATTAACTTTAAACCTCATTGGGGCTATAAGTTGTCTCCCTGTATTAAACTTAAACTTTGTTGTTTGACATGTTGATGTTTGGACAGTGGACAATGATAGAAGCTGGAAAATTACTGAGTCCAATTTAAACCAGCATCTAATTTAAGTTAAACTCAGTGTAAACCACCAATCTTGTTGTTTTATCAGCCTGAAATTATGAGCTTTCTTACGTTTAATTCCATCGTTATGGCTTTCTTGGAGTCTAATTTGTGACGTCATAGCTGCATTATTGGATACATTACAATACCGGAGTCTCCTTTTCCAGAGATAATTTACATTTTCACCATTCACTAAAGAATTATTTCTGTTGTTCAAACTGAAATATAACCTTTATTTAACGACATTCAAAGCATAGCTAGATTCTTGCATTGCTCAGTGCATCGTAAATGAGCAAGGCAAGAGACTGTATATAGTAATAGACATGAAATTCACTTGAAGTTAAAACTTAAAACTTAAAACCCTTGCTTCTACTTCTGCCGAGCTGAATAATATGCCATATTTATTATTTGCATTCAAATACTTTGTTAAATAGTTCTAGTATAGTGTTGAAAGTATAGCGTTTTAATACTTTCAAGTTTCAACGCCACTACGTTTATTAACTTATACTAATACTCTAATAGTCAAGGGATATGGGTGACTAAAGACTATGGGAAGATTTCTACGGAAGAAGGTTTTAACCTTCTTAAAGGTTTTAACCTGGTCCTTATATTAGTCGAACAGATTTTAACTTATTTGTTGGATTTCACTCGAGATCATTATTGCAACTTAGCTGCACATTTTGACGATCGATTTTTGAAAACTGTAGATATTTGGCATTTTAAAGATTTAAACCCTTCGACTTTTGAGCCACTCAACATAATTCGCTAAATTAAACCATTAAATTTTGCTTGCCTAACAAGCGACTGGCGCCTGTTGGATGATAAGGAAGAAAAGAGAGATTCTACCTTTGGAACTGAAAGGTAGATGAACTTGTAGTCGTCGTTTATATAAAGATGCTGTGCCACGTAGTTTAGTTTCGCATAATAATGGTCCTCGACCATGTCGTTGTGAGAATCACTGAAAATGACAGTTTATTAAGTGCAGGTTATTTTGTTTATTAAGTTCAAGTGTTGTTTAGATTAACATAGCACGTAAAGGTAATTTTTATGTTTTTATCTGCACGGGAAAAACAAATTAAGCACTTGCCTTGAGTAATTGTAGGGGACCCCAAGCTTTCCAATACAGTAATCTCTGATTTTTGATGTCTCGATGTCTTTGTATTCTTGATCGGTAGTTCTTCTTAACAACCCTGTAAAAATAGTGTGAGGTTTATAGTTTTGATATAATTGTCTAATTTTCATTTCCAATTTCTAATTTCTATAGTAGAAGAGGTGATACCTGATGACTGGCTGAAAGGGGTTATAGTGGTTATTGGAAAGAAGGGAGACACTTCATACTGCAGTAATAATAGGGGAATAAAGCTCTGTGGGCAACGTCATCTAAGATTCTCGAAATGATTATTCTAAAGAGATTAGATGTTGGAATGGAGTGTCTTCTTAGGGAGAATCAGTGTGGGTTCAGACGGAACCGCTCTTGTATTGATCAAATTTATTCAATCCGAACCATTATTCATAACTGTATTGAGTTTAAGGCCAGAAATTTTTTCGAATTTTTTCGAATTTGGGCTAAAGTTAACCTCATATTTCAAGAACAAAGGCAAAAATCAAAATTCTAAAACGTAACGTTTTTGCGTAACACCCCAAAGAACACCTGTGCCAAGTTTCAGCTTCTGGGTGTGGCCAGTCTTTTCAAGTTAAGGTTTTTAAACTTTTTACAGTTAAGTTAAACGCGATATCTCAAAAACGTAAGGTCAGATTTCGGTCGGGTTTTTTTCTTCTTGTTCGTCTCCAGCAGCTCTGATCAAATATGTGAAAACTGGAAAAATTAATTTTACCCCCCCCCCCCCTCTGGCCTTAACATTCCATTACATGTTAACTTCATTGATTTGAAGTCTGCATTTGATTCCATCAGAAGAGAGTTTATATGGTCGAGCATGAGACACTATATGGGCCTAATTGATCTGTCAGTACACTTACCAAGGAACATGTGCGACTATTAAAGCTAGAAAATCAGCGACTAGCGACTTTCGCATAAAAAATTGCATAATTTATGCAAATTCGGCTTATTGTCCATTTTTGGGTTTCAGGCCTGCTGGGAAAGTTACCATTTGCGAGCACCTCTTGGGACTTTTGGCATTAACTGAGGTGTTCGGGAGTGAGGTGAGACAAAAAGTAACAGTATGCAATCAAATTCATGACAAAAGATTTTTTCCTCTTGGCTCAGCGCTCCGAATGGTGGACGAGCCCATAATTTGAGGACTATTTCGGACAATTTTTGGCATTTTTGAAATGAGGACTCAAAATAGTTTGCTTAAGTTTTCAGAAGTCACAAACAAATCTCCCAACCCTTTTAGGTAAACATTCCAAGACATGAGTACCATGAAAGGAAAATTGAGGAAATGAGGAGGGTTTCTCACTGGGACGTCTTTTTTGGGACACTGAATTAACGATAAGAATAGCGCGAATTGACAGTTCACATTTCGGATTTCCATTATTCATAGCTCTTATTGAAGGATACGGTTGGGTGGTGCCAGTACTGGTTAAAATATCATTACCTTAGTACAATGTAAAAAATGTGGTCGGGACTTAGCCTCCTCGGGTATAATACTTTTACTATCCTTTATGTATTTATCTCGTTTAATCTTACTAGTTATCTTTTATTATTCATTGGAAGGTTGGGGAGACCTAGAATGAACTTGTTATCGGTTTTAAGAAGTGATTTAAGTAGTAGAAATCTGCAAATGGACAGCTCTCATGAATTGAACGAAATTAAAGATATAGCTGCATGCAACAGATGTTGGGAAAATCTTTTTCAAGGGTACAGTTTATCGCATTAAGGTATTTTTAAGAATCATTTTTGTCGGTAAGATCCTGTTTTCAGTTTTATAATAATAATAATAGTCATCTTTTTACACTCATTCTGAATCACCCCCATGATTCTGAATCACCCCCATGATGTAGGATAAAAATACTCCTCTGAAGAGTTATGGGGCATGGGCAAAAAACTGTTTTGGTCACGTGACTGACTGGTAAAACGTGTACTTGGGTTAGGATTGTGGTTAAAGTATTGACTATTGAGGTATCGGTAAGCTCCGTGGTTATGGTTAGGGTTATGGTTGAGGTTAGCTGTTTTATATAAAATTGTTTTGATCGTGTTTGTTGTATAAACTCACGTTTTTGGGCGAGCGAAATAATAGGAGCCGTATCCACGTGAACCAATTTCATTTGCTGCTACGAGATTGCTTTCATAATAAGCAAATTAATTGACAATTTTCTGCAGGTTGCAACACTATGACAATGACATAAAGCAGTGGACTTATTCATCTGGAATAAGTTGAATTCACAGTGCATATTTTAAGCAGATTTTTAAAATATATAGAAATCTGCGTAAAATGCACTATATAATGTATAAATACATTTTTCAATAAAACTTAAATCAAATACCAATCCAACAACTCACGTTTAATATCAATGCTTGAGAAGTTGTAATGAAGTATGGCCGGGGATGGCACAATAAGCAACAGCAGGTAACCAAGTAAGATCAAAAGTAACCCACCCACTATAGTCCGCGTTTTTCTAGCCATCTTATCAAAATTATAACAATCATTGGTTTCTGATATTGTACAAAGAAAGAAAGAACATAACGAAAGACAATGAGGTTTTTGGTTGTAAAATTTAATAAGGTTATGCATGAAAAAATATGGTAGGGCAGCTTAAGCAGACTTATATTTTTTGAACGCTACCGAAGTCTGAACTGAACAAATATCATCGATCTAATAATATTATCTATCAAATGAAATACAAATGAAAAGCTCCTAAACGATTGCTAGTACCAATGTTATACCAGCATCGAACACCTGTACAATTTACACTTGTGACTCGATTATGATACTGATCAGACAAAGGTCCCACTTTTTCTGAAAACGACTAAAAAATTGTCGAAAGAATAGTTTCATGACTAGCAGTTTATATGTCGCTACTAAAGGGTGGAGATAATTGGGCTTGGCCATGGGAAGGGCACAATTCATTTACTCAGCTCTACACTTAAAAGGTGTTTGTAGGAGGAGGACGGTGATACTATTGTAGTTTGTGCTACTCTGCCGTGAGAGGATCAGAAGTCGTTAGGTAGCGGTACTTAGCAGGTTTACGATAAAAAAGGATATACTAATTGTGCAATGACGGTGTTAAGATAAATAGGTCTACAGTAAACGTTAAGATGTTAAGGTACAATGTGTTTATATCGGTTAGCATTCGTCCATGTGCCATCAGTAACATATCATGTGCCATCAGTAACATATCTATTATCTGACAAGATACTTTTGCAGTGGGTAGTATAAGCAGGAGCGCTGAATTAGATCTGTGTCTATAAACGCTTGTTAATGGTGACCAAAACTATGTGCTCGGGATCCGCACAGCAACCTTGTTACAAAATCATGGTGAAACTAGTACTCTGATTAACTGCTATAAGATCGTTTATACTTACTATATATACTTACTGTACAGGGTTAAACCGAAACAATTTTCTGAATGATATCAAAATTCAAAACGTCGTTAGATTGTGTCGGTCTCCAATCAAATCAGATTGGATAGCAATAGCGTTCCAAGTGATCTGTACAATTTGGTAATTAATCATGCGCCACGATTCTATATTGATTCTGAAAAAAAGAAAAAAAAGAAATAATTACGATTTGAGCGAACTTAAGCTCTCGCGAAAACAAAACTGAAATATTAGCAATTTTCAACGTTTTTTTTTGTGGTTTTCTGGCCCTTGTAATAAAATTTCAAGAAAAACTCCTTCATAAAAGTTTGTATAGATATATTTAAAACCGTTTCAATGTATCGTGAACATCCTGTAAGTTAAAATGTTTTGATCACCGATTAGTTGTGAATCTGTACAGGATCTCATAGGAAAGTTAAACGAAAAATAACCGGCTTAGAAAAGTAACGGACAGAACAATACTGGGGCCATAGGTTTATTTAAATGTTGAAATGATTGAGGGATGATGGGCGGACTGATTCAGAGTTCAACATCAAATTACATAATTGAAGGTTTACAATTAAGTTGGTCGTTGGGAACCAGACTAAGGCGGTGTACACGAGGGCGTAGGACACGAAGGCGGTACTTTTCTAAAACTAAAAGGGTTTAGGGTGAACACGACGGCGGAACCAGACATTGTCCGATTCATTCAATGGTAACTATAAAAGTATAACGGTGTATTAAAGCCAATGAACAGGACTATAGAAGTAGAACTGGTAGAAAGAAACAACCACATCATAACAGATACCGTACTGTAACAGTTACAACAGAGGGTGACACGCTTCAACATGAGAAGGGGTACTACATCATTAACCCACCTGATTCGCTTAGTCTCAGAAACTGAGAAACTGTCAGATTTTCTGGAGAGCAATAGCGCAGTTCCATGAGGTGAGGGTAAACTGCATAGTTGTGTAGTGTGATGGTGTCATCTCAAGCTGCCCCTGTCTTCACTGCTCCTGTCTCCAGCTCCTGTATCCTGTCTCGTGTTGTGAACATGAACATTATTATCCTTACACCTGAGATAGACACCAGTTCTTCAGCTAATATAGCAAGTGAACTACACAGGATATGAAAGATGAGAATTACTAATAATTTTCGAAAGATAAAACAATACAATTATCTGCCAGACACGACAAACGGACGAATGTGGGATGATATAATTATTGTAGTAAACTAGTTCATATCTTATCTAAGAAGAGTCATCTTGCATCTGTTTGTAGCAGACAATTTTATTGTCCTTTTCTGACTTTTATCATTTGTTATATGTTTTAAAAATTGATAAAAAAGGAAGTGTTCATTTGGATAAGTAAAGTCCCCGGAAGTTGAGAGACTACCATACTTGCTTTCCTTTTTAATGCTACGTAGTGTAATTCTTTTACAATATTCCAATGTTGTTAATAACTAAATTCGAGATTTCAATCATTAACCATAATTGGTTTTATTTACTGTCTACTGAAGAACAGTTGAACCCATTACACCTTCTTAGAAACCTGAAATGATTGCAAAAATGCGCAACAGTTTGTCTCTGAAGCAATCACGAATAGCGGATGTGGCACGTACAGCAATACCATATAGAGATATAAGATAATATGTTGCATTCATGAACAGAGTGACAAGTCTTTATCAATGATTTCTGCAGTCTGCACTTCATGGTTGTACAGTCTTACAGTGCACGGTTAATGTACACCAGTTCCTTCATTTCCTTGAAATTTGTAAACGATATTTAGGAGTGTTTATCATTTCCAACCTTAAACGAAGTGACGCGTGAAACTAAACGATTCTGTTCATCAATTACCAGTTTATTTGAGCCCTGATAGTAATTCAGGGAAGTGAGAAGCAACTTTACATGTCCAGGCAGTCACGAAACAAGATGTAGTAATTTATGCTTGAATCTGAAAAGTCGCTTAATCTAAAGCATCCTTCCTTGAAGCGATCGATTTTACATAAAAACTGTGTCCATGATTGCACGCATTCCAAGCAAGAATTCTGTAGTGATCTGTAGTTTATCGTTTTGTTAATCTTTGATCGTTATTATATTTAAAATGTTTGCAAAATTATATTATTAGCATTATTAAAATAGCTAATATGTTTCCGCACGCTCACTAATTCTATGAATCAATATTTTTAGTGCAAGCTGAGAAATTTCCGTTAGTCTCTCGTCACCTCGCGAAACTGTGTTTACACCGATTAGTAAATTATTAGTGTTACATTAATCGAGCGAAAGGTGTGAAAGTGTGAGAATTAATAAACTTGTTGACACTTATTTAAATAAAAGTAATAAAATACATAAATCTTTGTTCGTGCACTATTTTGTGGAGTGAGATATTGTCCCACTTTTGGTCTAGCGTTCAAATTGTATGATCTCTTTGATCAGTGAGCGCTAGATCAATTAAAGTTCTAAAATAATCCATCAATATATTTTTACTTTTGGTTGTATTATATTTTGTACA